AAGCTCTTTCTCCTTCAGAGTTTTCTAGGAACAAGAAGAAACAGTCTTGGGAAGCCTGATTTATTTTTCCTTGGCTACCCATGTTCCTTTAAACCTGCACTTCCTTGTCTATTATAAATAGTTTTATCCTGAAATACTTCTCATGGATATACTTATGCCCAATATTGGGCAGTGCTGGCCTGATCTTAACAGAAATATGATTTTGGCAAGACCAAGTCATTCAGAAATATCTAGTTCCTTTCACACACTTGCACTTTTTAAATGTAGAGTTATTATACTTTCAATCTATTCACAATTTAGGAGTGAAACAGGAATTTATATTATTTCTTATGTTCATTGTTGTAGATCAATCTGTCAGTTTATTTTTTGCTGTTTAGAGGAAGATATCTTTTTGCTGAAATTTTTGACTCCCACAGACACTTCTTTCATTTTTATCTGTTGTATTGAAGATACATTTTACACTTGGTTATTTTTAAGAATTATCTTCAAAAATGTATGTGCTTGTATATATATATATATATGTGTGTGTGTGTGTGTGTGTGTGTGTGTGTGTGTGCGTGCGTGCGTGCGTGTGTGTGTGTGTGTTTACAAGGGCATGTGCTTTCAAGTGTGTCTGTGTATCTGAGGAGGCCAGAAGAGAGCAATGGATCCCCTAGAACTGGTATAAACAGGATTCTGAGTTCTCGTGCATGTGTACTTGGAATCAAACTCACATCCACTCCAATCCACTAGTAGATTCTTATGTAGAAATGAGGACAATTATTATTACTGTTCTTCTAGAGTAAAAGAAGACTATGCTTCTCAAATATAACACTGATTCTCCATTGAAAAGTAAACTGGGTTGCCCACTGCGTTAACTGACTTCTACAGAAATGTATTAAAGAACAATACATATTCTACTTAGAGTCCTGATAGAGCCATGTGACTTCCAAATTGGTCTCACTGTTCACAGAAGGGGGCCTCACCAGTCACAGAAGTTGCTTTGGGGACTGATATGATCAAGAACTTGCCTATTCCTTTCTAGTTTTTCTAATGTTTTTCTCTTGACTTTCAGGTTTTTCTGTCCTTACACTTGGTGGAGCACACATCCACCACATGTATAGTCTTTCACACAGACCTGTTTGTGTTAGCACCTGCTTTATATTCCATTGAACAAAGAAATTCACTTCACCTCGCTTGCTGTTTCAGAATCTCAAAATGTGAATCATCCAATAAGAGAAGTTAACGCAAACTCATTAGTATGACTTGCTCCTCTTTTTCTGTGAAGTCCCAGGAAATGAGGTAATAATATAGCCCAAACAGAAGACCCTAGTCTAACAAGAAGTTGTGCTGTGCATATTAGGCATGGACTCTTCTCTTCTTGGCTCTATCTTACTGGACAGATAGGGACAGGCCTAAGAGTACTGGGGAAGAGGCCTAACCTGAGTCAATCCCTTCTAGTCCAAATATCCAGGAATTTCTCCCTCATCTCTTCAGTTTACTGTGACATCTTCTTTTGCAGGTTCCTTTTCTCAGCCTGTATTGACACAGCCACCCTCTATCTCTCAGTCTCTTGAATCAACAGTCAGACTCACTTGTACCCTAAGGAATGGCATTAATGTTGGTGGCTAAGGCATTTGATGGTATCAGCAGATGCAGGAGAGCCCTCTTTGGTTTTTCCTGCACTACTACTCAGACTCAGACAGAAACTGGGGTCTGGAGTCGCCAATAGATTCTCTGGATCCAAAGATACTTCTGAAAATGCTGCACATTTATACAACTCTAGGCTTCAAGTAGATGATGAGGCTGATTATTATTTCTGTGCCATCTCGGAAAGTAATACTTCTCACAATGATACAGGCAGATAGGGAAGTTGACATAAATTATAGCTAGTGATAAAAATTCAGTTCTGTTCTTTATTACCTTGCAATAATCATTGATTATTAAATAAAAGATAATGTAAAGGTTAATACAGAAAATTTATTCCATGTTTGTACCAATAATAAAGACAAAGGGATGAAAGTACAAAAGAAAATTCAGGCCTATGCTATAGGTGAAAACAAATGCTTGTGAACATGAAGGAGAAGAGGAATATTTACCCACTGTTGGTGAGTTTGAAAAGTTGTACAGCCCCTCTGGAAATCACGATGGAAATTTCTCAAAAGCTTAAATTAGATATATTATATAATTGAGCTCAATCACTGTTAGCATTCAGGCATTATACAGACCTGCCTACTGTCAACTGGCAGGATGTCCTTGCCAATATTCAGGCAGTATTCTGATCTGCTCAGGGCCCTGACAATGTCATCAGTTGTGTTGTTAATGCCAATGACCTTTTAAAAGGTGGTGACCACCTGCTTCCTCCATCTCTGCCTTTGTCTTGATCTCTGCCTCTTTGTCTGCCTGTCTCTCTTTCTCTGTCTCTCTGTATTTTTATATCTTTCTGTGCTCTCACATGGCCATTCTGTGCTTCCATTCTTTCTCCCCTCAGTCCCTTCTCATATGTCTTGGGGCTCATTGGAAACCATCACCCCCTGCCAAGATCCCTCTCATGCCATATTTAACAATAGCTCTTTGGAATATGTTGGAAAGACTTGCTATCCCACGAAGGATATACTTGTTCAGCCATGTCCCTTATCATTTTTTTACAATAGCTAATAAATGGAAGCAGCCTAGTTATCATTAAAATGGTCAATGGATTATGAAAATGTATGTGGTATAAGTACACAATTCTATTCAGCTGTAGAAAAAATGAAATTTGCAAGCAAATTGATGGAATTGGAAAAGATTATATGTAGTAAGGTCTCCCATGTTCAGAAAGACAAATATCTTCTCTTTCCTCTTTTTAGATCATGGACTCAAATTTTCTTGGTTTTGAAAGTTTAGCTTTCAGTAACCATAGAAAGGTGATGATTACAAGTCGTTTTGGGAAATAAATTAAGAGCTTTCAAATAATATTAAGAAATAGTGGTTCAATGAATGTAACTCCTAATTCTGAGAGCAATGAGGCCACCAGAGAGTGCTATGACCATTCTCAGAAGTCTTGGAGATTCTGGTGTTCAGATTCACTGGCCCTGTACAGCTGCACACTGGCCCACTAATACGTTACAGCAGCTACTTCTTTCCAGGCACAAATTTATAGCACACACCACAGAACCTCCTTGCATCTGCCTCTCACAGTTTAACTCCTCGGAGTGCTGAGGACCAGGTGGTGGAAGGCTGTTAACGGATGATATTTACACAAACCACAACAGAAAGAGCTCAGAAGGAAGAGCTCTCTTGGTAGCAAGAACCTACAGAATTACACACAGCATATCAGAATCTCACAATTTTGAAATCAGTCTACAGATGTTTCAGTAGATTAGGAGATGAGGTGAGGTAGAAAATGAACACAATCTCTTGGTCATGGCGACTATGAGCCTTGTTACCAGCAGGAGGCACTGTGGGGCAGTCTGTGTTCACTATAAACTAAGGACCATTTTTACACAAAAATTCTAGAAGCTCCATCATCTACATATTTTCTCTACACTCAGTACTTTCCTGTTGCTATGCCCAGTTGCCATTTTCCTTCTTGATTTAATTCTGGTTTCCACTCCACATCTCATTTTCATTGTTCAATGAGAATAATGGCTATGGTTTTCATCGGAAGAACCACTTACCAGTTTCTCTGTCCACAAGTCAGGAGTTTCTTGCCTTGAGGCACAGATTCTGCCTCTATGTATTGACATTGTCTTTTAAGTAATTCAATTTATCATGTGGAACAAAAATACAATTGGCAAGAGTTTTGCATCCTTATTCTGCTCTGGTAAGCACATTTCAACATATAATCTTTTGTGAAGAAGTTCTAAAATGGGCTTGATGTCAGTATCTTTTTCAGAATTCTCTTATTGTTATATATTTAAAACAATTTATTGAGCTGTAATTTTTATAAAATATATATCCCTGTTAAGACAAAGTTTTGCAGGTGCACACACACATATCATTGCTATGAAATGTTTGCTTTGAGTATAGAATCATATATGTGTATATACATTCATATATATTCAAACATAACATAGTTATGCATGTGCATGTATATATATACATATATATATTTTTTTTTAACAAAATGAAAGTTAAGGTTTTTTTCCTACCACCCTACATTTTTACCTGTACATTCATCCCAAAGACCTTGCGTCTAGTCATCTACTTTGTTGCTTAAAACTATATCCCATTATTTCAGAAATCAGCATCTACACTCCAAAATCATAATCTTCAAAGAGCTCACAAGGTGATTTAGAAACCCAGTTACGTGCTTGTGTGTACATACAGTTGATCCTTTCTAGTTTCCGTGCAGGGCATCATAACACAGATATACTATGGATTCTTTGTTACCTTCCAGTTTATTGGATTATCTGAACTATGAATAATTTCCTTGCAACAATATTTCCATGTGTTAATGTGGGAACACAGTTGAGCGGAATGATGAGCCACATGATAAACTGATGCTAACTGTAAAATGGACTGCTTTTGAAATGGTTGCTACTTCCATAATGGATCAGAGATCCACTTGTTTTACGTCCTTGCCAGATGCCACTGTTGTCTTTTCATTCACTAGTTCTTCTAATGCTTGTGTAATGAGGCATCACAGTAATCTGATATTGCTGATTTAGACTCATTTTACTATACACTTCTTCCATGATGTGAATTGTGGGAGAAAGAAGATGACCTGCAAGTCGCTTTCCCATCCTTACCTTACTGTGAACTCTTCTAAATGTCTTGATCATTTCTCTTTATTCATTCCTTTATATTGGACTACATATTGCAATAATTCTCTGTAGGATAAAACATGGTAGAAAATGGCCTGCACTATGAAGGATCCTCTAGGACACTAGAAAGAAGATACTTTTGGCTCTAGAAAAGCAAAAGGAGCTAACAGTAATACTTCTGACCTATGCTCTTATAAATTTCTGTCAACTCAAAAACTTTTGCCTGACACCATATAATCACCCTAAAATAGGAGCTCATTTGCATTAATGCTCACACCCCTTCCATGTTAGGAGTTTTAGTTAGCCCTGTGGAACTTCCCTGTGCTCTACAACTTTGAAAGGAAGAGACCTGGACTCTGAGTCATGGCCTGGATTTCTGTTTTGATCGCACTTCTGGCTCACTGCACAGGTCAGGGGACCTTTCTGTGCTGGAGTGGGTATGCAACAGTGTACATCTTTTCTCTGTTTTGTTACTGACCACTGGATTTCTCACCTGTTTGCAGGGGCCATTTCCAAGGCTGTTGTGACTCAGGAAACTTCACTAATCACATCTCCTGGAGGGATAGTAACACTCACTTGTGGCTCTAGTACTGGGGCTGTTACCACCAGTAACTATGCCAAGTGGATCCAAGAAACATCTTACCAGGTATACACTGGTCTTATAGGTGATACCAGCACTAGAGTCCCACATGTTCCTGCCCGATTCTCAGGCTCCTTGCTTGGAGACAAGGCTGCCCTCACCATCACAGGGGCCCAGTCTGAGGATGAGGCTGTGTATTACTGTGCTCTGTGGTATGGTGATCATTTACACAATGACACAAACAGATGGGTAAGTAGAACACAAACACTCTGGTGCAGTCTGATAACTACTGTCTTCTTACCATATGACTACATCTCCATAGACTCAGAATGTATTTCTCTATTACTGTACAGAAGGTCATAGAGGTCTTAAACAGTTTTAAAGCTAAAAAATATTTATTTCAGCACCTTTTATGATAATGATGTTGTGATAACAAGCTTTACTGACAATTCAACAAAATAAGAATCTCCTGAGAAGAGAGTCTCATGGTAGACTTCTACTTTGGGTTGGCCTGAGGAACTGGTTTAATTATTTGATGTAACAAGACCACTTCCACTGGCATCATTGTTTAGAAAGACTGACCTTAACTGTATAAGCTTGAATTTAAACTGAGTACAAGCCGGCCAATGATTGTATATGTCATTATTTCTCTTGGTCTCTGACTGTGTATGTGATGTGGCCAGATGCCTAAGGTGCTTTATGCTCTGAACTCCCTGCAATAATGGACTATAATTTGGAACTGTGAATTTAAATAAGCTCTCCCTCCCCTCAATTTTCCTTACCTTACAATATTTTTTTTCACAACAACAGAAAAGAAACTAGGAAAAATGTTTTCATAAAAGCTACTTAAAATAACCTGTCTCATGTAGAAGCCCCTGCTGCACCAGAAGCCAATCAGGTCCTGGCACACAAATCCCCCCTTATTCACTCTCCCAGTTCATACCACTACATTCCAGTCCCACAACCCTCCTCTTGCCATGTCCCAACTCCTGATCAGGGCAGATATCCACAGTTTGATTGACCAGAAATGACTATGGAAATCAATATGGCAGTTCTTCGGATAATTAGGAATTGTTCTACCTAAAGATTCAAGGTCTTAGTTAGGATTTCTATTGGTGCAATGAAACACCAAAATCAAAGAGCAAGTTGGGGATTATAGTGTTTATTTGGCTTACCCTTCCAGATCATAGTGTATCATTGGAGGAAATCAGAACAGAAACACAAGCCAGGTTAGATAAAGAAGACAGAGATGTGATACTTTTACACAATGAACAAATCCTCAACCATTAAAAAAATATATCATTGGTGAAGATCTTCTTTCATTCAGTAGGATGACTTTTGTCTTAATGACAGTGTCCTTTGCTTTACAGATGCTTCTCAGTTTCAGGAGGTCCTATTTATTCATTGATGTTCTTATTGTCTGTGCTACTGGGGTTATATGTAGGAAGTGGTCTCCTGTGCCCACGTGTTGCAGTCTACTTCCCACTTTCTTTTCTATCAGGTTCAATGTGGTCAGATTTATATTGAGGTCATTAATCCACTTGGACTTGAGTTTTGTGCATGGTGATAGATATGGAACTATTTTCATTCTCCTACAGGTTGACATCCAGTTATGCCAGCACAATTTGTTGAAGATGCTTTCTTTCTTCCATTGTATGCTTTTAGCTCCTTTGTTGAAAATCAGGTGCTCATAGGTTTGTGGGTTAATATCTGGGTCTTCTATTTGATTCCATATGTCAACGTCTGTGCTTTTTGGCCAATACCAAGCTGTTTTTATTACTGTAGCTCTATAATAGAGTTTGAAGTCAGAGATGGTAATGCCTCCAGAAGTTCCTTTATTGTATATTGTTTTAGCTAAGGTTTGATCTCCAAAATATACAAAGAACTCAAGAAACTAGACTCTGAAATTCTAATAAACCCACTTAAAAAATGGGGCACTGAACTGAACAGAGAATTATCGACAGAGGAAGTTCAAATGGCCAAGAGACACTTGGAAGAGCAGGCAATGCTCTTAACCACTGAGCCATCTCTCTGGCCCCTTCTTTCTGTTGCCAGAAGAGAGCACCAGACCTCATTACAGATGGTTGTGAGCCATTATGTGGTTGCCATTAATTGAACTCAGGACGTTTGGAAGAGCAGACAATGCTCTTAACCACTGAGCCATCTTTCCAGCCCCTTTTTTTCACCCTTTTAAGTAAACCAGGTTTCCTCGACGTGGTGTGTGGGTCACATTTGCATTCCCCTTAGCCTATTGGCCATTAGTGTACCTCACAGAGGAGTTCTAAATAGATTGTTTCTCTGGCTTTCATTCGGATTTTCCTTTCACGGGTGTTTCTAGTATCGTGTATGTCTTGGATGTGAGTTCTTCATCAGGCATATGAACACGCCAGTATTTTCTTCTTCTAGCCATCTTACCTTGCTCTTTTTGGCAGTGTCTCTGAAGCACGCTGGAGCATGGTGATGGAGTCTTCTCAGCTGTTTAGGCTTTAATGTCCTAACACAAAGTTTTGCCTCATCCAGTCACAACGATGTGTGTCCATGTCCTTTTCTTAGAATTTGCACCTATCATTTCATATTTTAATGTTACATACTGAGTGAATTTTACTGGTGGTGTTTCATAGTCATGAGCACTTGATTTTTTCCTGTGTGGATACCAAGTTGCCACAGTATCATTTCTTGTTGGAAAAAAAATTGTCCTGGAACTAGCTCTTATAGACCAGGGTAGCCTCAAACTCACAGAGATCTGCCTGCCTCTGAGTGCTGGGATAAATGTGTGCACCACCACAGCTAAAAATATTGTCCTTAAGAATGATTATGCAGCATTTTGTTCGGAGTCAATTGATCATATACATGGAAGTTTTCTCTGGGTCCCACAAGCCAGGACCAAATCAAGTCGATTTCTCAGGTGAGAACTCTTTTCAGGAGTGTGTGACTTATTTCCAGCTGTCTTCTGTAACAAGTTGCTGGGGTGGAAGCGATAACTTCATTCTGGTGTAGACTTTCTTCTTCTTTTTTTCAATATTTATTGAGCTCTACATTTTTCTCTGCTCCCCTCATTGTCTCTCCTCTGCCCCCTTCAACCCTCCCGCAAGGTTCCCACGCTCCCAATTTACTCAAGAGATCTTGTCTTTTCCTACTTTCTACTTACCATGTAGATTAGATCTATGTAAGTCTCTCTTAGTATCCTCATTGTTGTCGAAGTTCTCTGGGATTATAGTTGTAGGCTGGCTTTATTTGCTTTATGCTTAAAAACCACTTATGAGTGAGTACATATGATAATTGGCTTTCTGCATCTGGGTGACCTCACTCAAAATTATGTTTTCTAGCTCCATCCATTTTCCTGCAAAATTCAAGATGTCGTTATTTTTTTCTCCATTGTGTAACATTTTCCTTATCCATTCTTCGGTAAAGGGACATTTAGGTTGTTTTCAGGTTCTGTCTATGACAAACAAAGCAGCTAGGAACATAGGTGAGCACATGTCCTTGTGGCACGACTGAGCATCCTTTGGATATACACCCAAAAGTGGTATTACTGAGACTTGAGGAAGGTTGTTTCCTAATTTTCTGAGAAATCACCACACTGATGTCCTAAGGGGTTGTACCACCTTGCATTTCCACAAGCAAGGCAGAAGTGTTCCCCTTTCCCCACAACCTCTCCAGCATAAATTGTCATCAGTGTTTTTGATCTTGGCCATTCTTACAGGTGTAAGATGGAATCTCAGACTTGTTTTGATTTGCATTTCTCTGATGACTAAGGATGTTGACCATTTTCTTAAGTGTCTTTCAGCCATTTTAGATTCTTCTGTTGAGAGTTCTCTGTTTAGGTCTGTACTCCATTTTTTTAATTGGATTCTGTGATCTTTTGGTGTCCAGTTTCTTGAGTTCTTTGTATATTTTGGAGATCAGAACTCCCTCTGCCTGACGTGGGGTTAGTGAAGATCTTTTCCCATTCTGTAGGCTGTCATTTTGTCTTGTTGACCATGTCCTTTGCTTTACAGAAGCTTTTCACTTTCAGGAGGTCCCATTTATTAACTGTTTCTCTCAGGTTCTGTGCTGCTGAAGTTGTATTTAAGAAGAGGTTTCCTGTACCAATGTGTTCAAGTGTACTTCCCACTTTCCCTTCTATAAGATTCAGTGTAGCTGGGCTTATGTTGAGGTCTTTGATCCATTTGGGCTTGAGTTTTGTGCATGGTGAAAGGTATTTCCATTCTTGTACATATTGATATCCAGTTATGCCAGGACCACTTGTTAAATATGCTTTCTTTTTTCCATTTGATATATTTTGCTTCTTTGTCAAAAATCAAGTGTTCAAAGATGTCTTCTATTTGGTTTCATTGGTCCTCCTGTCTGTTCTTATGCCGATATCAGGCTGTTTTCAGTACTGTAGCTCTGTAGTAGAGTTTGAAGTCAGGGATTGTGATGCCTTCCGAAGTTCTTTTATTTTACAGGATTGTTTTGGCTATTTTGGGTTTTTTGCTTTTCCATTTGAGGTTGAGTGAGTACAGTTCTTTTGAGGTCCTTGTAGAATTTTGCTGAGATTTTGATGGGCATTGCATTGAATCTGTAGATTGCTTTTGGTAAGATTGCCATTTTTACTATATTAATTGTGCCTACCCAAGAGCATGGGAGGTCTTTCCACTTTCTGGTGTCTTCTTCACTTTCTTTCTTCAATGATTTAAAGTTCTTGTCATAGAAGTTTTCCACTTGTTTGGTTAGAGTTACTCCAAGATATTTTATGCTATTTGTGGTGATTCTGAAGGATGTTGCTTCTCTGATTATTTCCCCAGCCCTTTTATCATCTCTGTACAGAAGGGCTACTAATTTTTTTGAGTTAATCTTGTATCCTGCTACATTGCTGCAAATGTTTATGAGTTTTAGAAGTTCCTCAGTAGAATTTAAGGGATTGCTTATGTAAACTATCATATCATCAGCAAACAGTGAGAGTTTGACTTATTTTCCAAGTTGTATCTCCTTGATCTCCCTCTAGTGTCTTATTGCTCTATCCAGGACCTCAAGAACAATATTGAATAGATATGGATAGAGTGCACAACTTTGTCATGTTCCTGATTTCAGTGGAATTGCTGCTAGTTTCTCTCCATTTTGTTTGATGATGGCTGTTAGCTTGCTATATGTTGCCTTAATTATGTTTAGGTATATTCCGTGTATCCCTGCTCTCTCCAAGACCTTTACCATGAAGAGATGTTGTATTTTGTCAAAAACTTTTCGGCATCTAATGAGATGACCAAGTGGTTTTTATTTTTCAGCTTGTTTATATGGTAGATTACATTGACAGATTTCCGTGTATTGAACCATCCCTGCATCTGTGGGATGAATCCAACTTAATCATGGTGGATGATGATTCTGATGTGTTGGAATCGTGGATTTGAGTTGTCAGTATTTTATTTAGTGTTTTGCATCAATGTTCATGAGTGACATTGGTCTGTAATTCTCTTTCTTAGTAATGTCTTTCTGTGGTTTGGGTTTCAGGGTAATTGTAGCACCATAAAAAGAGTTTGACAATGTTCCTTCTGTCTCTGTTGTGTGGAATAATTTGAGGAGTATTGTATTAGTTCTTTGAAAGTCTTGTAGAATTCTGAACTGAAACCATCTGGTCCTGTTTTTTTTGTTGTTGTTGTTGTCGTTGTTGTTGTTGTTTTGATTGGTATACTTTTGATGACTGTTTCTATTTTTTCAGCTGTTATAGATCTGTTTGATTTGCTTATCTGGTTGATCTTCACCTTCTGAAAGGAACAGTAGTAGACATAGTAGACTATCCCTCCTGCTCTTGTTACCTATCCTACTGGAAAGACAGCAAAGGAAAACTAAGGATAATATATTTTCCATGAGGGAATAACAATATGAATGGGAAAATAAGAGCCACAAGATCCTCCATGGCAATAGGATGACCACAGAGAAAGGTTGGTAGTATGCCAGCTTAAGCCCTCAGCAGACTTCTTGGTGCCAAACAAGTGACTGCACATGTCACACCTGGAAGGCTCTTAGAGGGCATAGTGCCAACCAGGAACAGTCTCTTGCAGAGCAAGCCTGCAGTTCACAGACCAGAGTAGCAGTGGGGCAGGCACATCTAGAAGGCTTCAAATGTATGGAAATAAATCCTGAGTGAGATAACCCAGACCCAAAAAGATGAATATGGTATGTACTCATTCATTTGTGGATTTTAGCCATAAACCTAGGTCATTAAGCCTATAGTTCACAAGCCCAGAGAAGCCAAATAAGTGGAATCTAAAGAAAAACATATACAGATCCCCCTGGAAATTGGAATCAAACAAGATCACCTGGCAAAAGTTGGGAGCATGGTGGGGGGGGCGCAGGGGGAAATGAAGTTGGGGATAAGGAAAGAGAGGGAGAGGGAAGGGAGAAGGGGAGGACTGACAACAGCTTGGGGCAGTGGGAGAGTGGAGATGGAGGAAAGGCTAGGAGCAGGGAAGAAGATACCTACATTAATAGATCCATTTTAGGGTTGGAAAGAGACTTGTCTCTATAGGGGATCCAAGCTTCCCACGGGGATGTCCCCAACTAGGTCCTTGGACAGCAGAGGAGAGAGTGCCTGAACTCTCCTTACCCCACTATCACGCTGATGATTATCTCGAATATCACCATAGAGTCTTCATCCATCGATAGATGGAGATAGAGACAGAGACCCTCATCAGAGCAATGGATTGGGCTCCCAAGGCCCAGTTGAAAGGCAGAGAAGGGAGAAGACGAGCATGGAAGTCAGGACCGCGAGGGGTTGGTCTACCAACTAAGGCAGTGTGCCTGTTCTAATGGGAACTCACCAAATCCAGCTGGACCAGGTCTGAAAGAGCATGTGATCAAACCGGACTCTCTGATTGTGGCTGATAATGGGGGCTGACTGAAAAGCCATTGATAAAGGCACTGGGACTTGTTTTAATGGCATGTTCTGGCATTTTGAGACCCTAGTCTATATGGATGCACAGTTCCCTAGAACTGAATGTAGTGGGGAGGGCCTTGGATTTCTCACAGGGCAGGGTTCCCTGCTCTCTCTCAAGCAGGGTGGAAGAAGGAGGAGGATGTGTGGGGGAGTAGAAGGGGATTGGGAGGAGGGGAGGAAGTGTAAATAATTGAATGGAAAAATAAAATTAAAAAAATATGTCATTAAATTTGCAGACAAATGGATGGAACTGGGAAAAAAACATTCTTAGGTGACACAGATCCAAAAGGACAAACATGGTATTACTTACTTATTAGATGATATTAGCTGCTCACTAAATGATAGCCATACTACAATCCACAGACCCAGAAAAGGTAAGTAACTCATAAATATCCTCATTCTTTAGAGGAAATGCCTCAGTCCTTTGCTTAGCGGCTTTGTCAGTTAGCAATTCTGTGAAAAGATGAGATTTATCATTTCTCTATGTTATTCTTGCCCTCACTGCTGTCTGCCATTTTGACTTTAACCTCTTTACTGCAAATGAAATGCTATCTCATTGTATATTCAATTGTATTCA